ATACATAACTGATCATATCATCAAATTTTAAAAAATTATATAATTTTAAAATATTATATAATTTTAAAATATAAATAAAATTTAAATAAATCAATAATTCAATATTTGTTTGCTAAAATCATGCGAATAAACATTTTAGATCACATAAATTTCTTATTTTCACATTAAAAAATATTCATATTCAAAAAGCAATCTAGCAATTATAGCACAAAAGATATCTACAAAATTTATCATTAATTCAATTAGTTAATGATTTTTTATTTGGTCAAACAGTTAGTTAATGATTATTCTAAACTTCTTTTTTCTTATTAATTTCACACAATCTTAACAAAATAAATCTTCATCCATGGCAATTTACATATCATTACTATTATCAAATATTAAATAATTTCTTTATCAAATCATAAACTACATTTTGAGATTATAAACATATAGAATTTCTATTAAGATTAAAACTAATTAACAAGTGGATATATCACATTTAAATGATTTAACGACTTATTACCAATTTTTAAATAATAAATGGATTATGTTTTTATGATTTAATCTAATTGAAAACAAATAAAATGTCAAATTGGTATGATATAAATGATATAATAAATAAATATCTACAAACATTATCTCACATATACGTACAATTTTAAACTATCCTTGACAAATATGATATATAAGTTTTGGATAACCGGTTGAAAAAAAAAACTGGTAGTTATATTTAACTCTCAAAATCTCAAAATGTTGAACAAAATTCAACTTTGGGACGTATAAATCTCTACTTTTGGACGATTATATAAAATTTTACATATATTAAAATTATATGTAGTTACATGTAAATGGGAACATCCTTCCCCGTCAGCTTGGTCATTGGCTGAGTTGTACTGGCAAAGCCCTTCACAAACCGCCTGTAGTAACCTGCCAATCCCAGAAAACTCCGTATCTCTGTGGCATTCTGCGGTCTAGGCCAATCTCTGATAGCCTCAATCTTCTCTGGATCCACAGAAACTCTCTCTGCAGACACGATATGACCCAGAAAACCCATCTTTCTCTGCCAGAAACTACACTTGCTCAACTTAGCATACAGCTTCTGTTCCCGCAGCTTCTCCAACACTGCCCGCAAGTGTACCTCGTGCTCCTCAGGACTCTTAGAATACACCAGGATATCATCAATGAAGATGATAACAAACTCATCCAGAAACGCCTGGAACACGCTGTTCATCAGCCTCATGAACGCCGAAATCACTAAACTCCCCGAAATCGGTCTCACACCCTGGAAATACATCTTCGGTCCGGGACGCTCGAAGTATACTCTCCCCCGGTGACAATCCAGATGAACTCTGTGCCGCTCCAACCAATCCATGCCCAGAATTACATCATACAACTCCACCGGA